AGAGAGAGAGAGAGAGAGAGAGAGAGAGAGAGAGAGAGAGAGAGAGAGAGAGAGAGAGAGAGAGAGAGAGAGAGAGACAGATAGAGAGAGAGAGAGCAGGAAGTGGTGTTTCTGCTGCTCTGGCTGTCGACAAAATCCACCGCACCGCGCCCTTGACGTCATTGGTTTCGACTTCGTTGTCCTCCACTTCGAATGCGCGCTCCACATTTCTCCAACTGCTCGCGTGCGCTGTCGTCGGGGGGCGAGCGAGCGAGGGACACACACACACACACACACACACACACACATAGAGAGTCTCGCTCCCCCACACAATATTCTACATGCATTTGGACTTATTCTCGCCCCGCTACATTCAAAATGTTGGCCTCCCCCAAAGTAAAGTAAAGCTACGGTTGTGATGGGAGTCCCAAGTGCCAAGATCCCAAAACAATGTTGGACTCCCCCAAAAATAGGTCTACGGTTGCGATGGGAAGTCCAAAGTGCCAAGATCCCAAAACCAGTTCCCAACTGCGATGTTGTTGGGCCTCGCCACACCACTCTCGAAATGTGAAAAAGACAAAAATGTGGCGGGGGCATCTGGCCATGTTTTAGCGGGAAGATCATTCCCATTTACCTGCGACCGGTGCAGAGTTCGAAATTCGCGGAAATAACAGTACGGTGCAAGTTCAGGCCGAGAGCAGTTCGAAACTCCAAGAAAAACACTAAATGATGCCGTCGACAGCGTGCCAGTTCAACAATTGGCAAAAACGGGAGGTACCGGTACCGGTAGGTTTTTTTTTTTTTTTTTTTCCCGGAAAGCTTGAAATTTTATTACAAATCCGTTGGGACGAGGCCGGGGACCTCACAATTCAACCCGGGGTTATCCTGGCAGCCTCAGCCAGTTTGGCTTACGAGCCATGCTCAACGATAAAACGAAGATAAAACGGACTGCCCCAGATCTCTCAACCAAAAACACTGCTGGACAATTGGCCTAAATCGACCACATAACGAACTACCGTCTTCCCCCAAACATAATGCATATGTGTTGTATTCGAGTTTTCCCAAAAAAACGGTTTTCCGAAAGTTAGACCCTTTTCTTCGAATACAAGGGCACTTCGAATATAGCGCATATTTGAATTGCATGAAGAGAAAATTGTTGTATTCGAATATAACATTCTTTTTCCCCCCCCTGAAGGTCAATGCCTGCTCCTTTCTTGCCCTGGTGAACGGGACAGGTCCTTGCAGGCCCGCAATCACAGATCACTGCCCGTGCTCT